CTACTACCGCTCACTCGGAACGCTAGTGGTCGCTGGTAGACGCTTGTGGACGCTGCCGCAAAGTGTGAACGCAGCCTAATCGAACCCCTAGTTATGAGGAACAACGATAAGCTCGAATACAGTGGAGTTTTGCAGACTCCTATTCGCTCCGTCCGCCATCGGATCCTACTTGTAATCCTGGGGTTCATTGAATTCCTGTATACCTCACCCAAACTCCCTCCTTTCCATTTTCAGCAGATAAGAACCCGTAAAATATCGGAAATTGACCGTGTTCACAGTATCAAACTCCGAAAATTCTCCTCATTTCAAAAGTTCAGCTCAGAGTCCATGATTACTAGCGTATACTATTAAAGTTTGGCATGGTCACCAGGTGCTAGAATGAGAACTTTAGAGAAGCTGGAAATTGTTGGTACTGCCCTGGAACCACCGATGGATGCTCAGCTTTCGCTTTTGAAGTTTGCTGAGCAATGCTTACGGTGAAGTTTCGCAACTGCTGAACTGGGCACTGCTGAACTCGCCTCCCACAAGAGCGTTTTTTATGCCCATACTGTGGCCATCCTGCCAGTTATTCATAAGCAGTACGTACAGCGTGCAGCATCGTTGTGCGAAACCCATAAGGGGTGGTGATTGGGAAAAGGGTCGTATTTGACTCTGAGAGGACTTTCTTCCCGATTGTTGTGTTTTCCTCTTCAAGCGTGCTAGATATTTTGCCATTGGTCGGCTTGGCAAAATAATGTTCTCTGACATTCTGTCCACCCTGTCCCGGCAAAATTCAGGGAAAATGTGGCGTGAGCGTGGGCAGGTTGTGAGGGGAAGTCGTGACGGAGAAGGAAAGGAAAGAAGTCTCAATGACATCGCTCCGACTCTGTGCGAGATAGACTTTTGATTCAGGTCAATTACTCGTGGAGCATTCTTAGTTCGAGAGCGAGATAAGTGAATCATGCGCAGTAGTGAGGTAAAAGGCCGACAAGGGATATGGCATGAGATGGCCGAAAAAGGGAAGAAGAACAGCTCCCGTGAATGCGATTGTATAAGGGGGCGTGAGACATGCTGGCGAGTCGTCTCATAGCAGACGCAACGTTTGATACCCCTCAACGAGTCTTGGCAGAGAGTTTGACTAGAATTTTTCTTTTGCATCCATCCAGGGCCATTGTGGAATTCCTTCAATTTAGGCGTCAACGTTCGCTCTAGTTGTGTTACGAATCTGCAATATGTTAACAATTTTCAATCTGCTTGTCTTCACGACGAACGAATTCATTGTTATCCGCTATCCGCTTCATTATCGTCGATATGTTCGGCGGAGAACTGTGTTAGCGACCCTCGGCTGCTGGTATGTTCCTTTCCTCTCATCGATACATTATACAACAGGACTTGAAATTTTCTTCTCATAAATTTGTTGTTTTCCCGTTACTCCATTCGGATGTCTCAGTAAAAAGAAAGAAAAGGGTCTGGAAAGAGGTCTGTGTTAGTGGACTTCATATCCTCGACATAGTGGGGGCATGGCCGCGCCTCATCGCCTTTTCGAAATGTTCAGAATGGAAGTATCCTACGAAAAGCTCCAGCTACACTCTTCCCTTCCCCAAAAGGGGAAAAAAGTGCAATTTTGAATTTTAGTCGGGTCGAATCTAGGGATGCTTTCTTTGAGGATCACTTACCTGTAGGTTAGAGATGACAGGGCCTGAGTTCAGAAAAAAAAATCGAAAAATTGCAAGTATTCTACCGACATATAGTTTCGAATAACCTTCGCAACCTGAGGCCCTCTCAGGGTGAAGTTTAAATGTAGCATATGAGTTCCCCTAGACGTTGGTTCTATGCAAAATCTTGGTTGCTGCGGATGCTGGGGCGTGTCAGTGAGGCCGACTGTGATGAAATTCCAGCCTATTCTTCACCAGCTGTTAAAGCGGGCAAGCCAAAACAATTGGAATACGGGTTGGCGCTGTGCCAAACCCGCCTCCGTGACAAGCCCAGCATACAGAGAACAAGACGTTTGAAGAGTGTGAACTTCTAAGTCGTTATCCAAAGTGAGTCCTCCATAGGGGTGACATTACCTCACTCATTGCAATACAGGGGAGGCCCAAAACCGATCACTTCGACACCAAGTCACATATCAGCAAAGTTTTCGCTGCCCAGACAGAGGACGTGGATACGAGTACCAGGGCGGAAGATACCCAAGATGTTCCTCGATAAGCAGGAGCTGGCTCTCGCCCATCACCTTCATGTACACCAAAATATGAAGTCATCTCCAGCCGCAACCTGACTGGGGAAGGCCTTCGGAATTCATGTCACCTCCAAACTGGCTGTGCGAACCCTCTAATATGGGTCACCATGATAGTACCTGAAGAGCAGTACTCTCGATCTGGAAGACCTCCAACATCGAGCAGCTCCGACAACGTCGCTACGGTCTAGGACATCATCTTCACCGTAGTCGCCGAGGCGCGAGTTGATGGTATGGACCGGAGTACCTGGAATGGGAAGACCGATATTTTCTTTGTAGACCCGGACTGAAGGCTGGCGGTTACATCGAGCAACTCGAGAAGAATATCCTCCCCACATGTCGTCGCCCGTACCTTCTTGGAAACTTTGTACTGCTACAGGTTTGGGTGCCACCACATGGAATCGAAGGGTGTTGGAAAACTCTCGCCTACTTAGAATGGAAGGGCGTTTAGTACCTGAAAAAAGATGAAATGTTTAAGTATGTCCTCTGACCTAAACCTCTCTCAATTACCGGGTTCGGGCGGAGCTCAACAAGGGGGTCTACAGTGGCCGAGAAATCAACTATCTCGCTGAAGCCAGTACCCACTCACGGTTGCGTGGCAGAATCTCTCGATGGCGCTCCTCCAGAAGGCTGTGGCGGAGTATCATGATAGTATTTAATATGCTCTTTAATATGGTGGTAAATGTCCGATCAGAATTTAATAAAGTGTAACTTATAGCGCCTCGAAAGTCAAGGAAGAAAAGTGACTTTTTTTGCCCCCTGTATGACGGAAAGCTCTCTAGCTATAATCGAAAAGCGTTCTCTGTGCACATTTCTGACACTAGCCCGTTTTTTACCCTCGAAAAAAAAACAATTTGAGAGCAGTATATTTGAAGTGATGCCTTGATATTTCAGCTGGATCGTTAGCATAATTATGGGTCTCGGACTACTTGTCCCGCCGTCTTCTCCTTATCTGCAGACCTCCGGTGCGTTTTTCTTGTCTGTTAAATCGAACGAATTTTATTCATTCATATCGTGACACTTTCAGACGAGAAACCATGGCATATTGACATCGCCACGCTGAGCATGTTGATGATTTCCCTGCTGTGTTTTCTTGTCCTCGCCATTGTCGTGGTACGTTGAATCATTGCGCACATCTGCCTATTCTGCCAACGCCTTTGGCACTATTTTTGTGGGACATCGGGACCCCTCGCGGCTGCGTTGTCCACCAATGTGGCAGGTTCAAGAAGAAAACAAGTAGTGGTAGAGAACGACGTGGGTGGGCCCATCTCACCCTTCCTGACGCCATCCCACTGGGGTGCTACGATATCAACTCTATGTGGCACCTAACTACATCATAGGTGGTAGTGTTCTTCTCGTGGTTGGGTGTGCCGTCGAAGAGTCAGTGCGATTTATTGTAAGAACTGGCAAATGAATGTCGCTTTCTTCAGAAAGAGCCGCTAAAAGGTCCCCCCACAGAAAGTCTTCGCCGAGATAGCAATTCACGTGGCCTGTCATAGCTTTTTATGAAAAATTTCGAGATCTGGTACCATAACTATATCGTCAGTCTCGTTCTATCCTTCCAAAATAACGTGAAGTACTAATTAATTAATTTGTCATCAATAGTTACTATTTAGGTATGCTACGCGTTTATACTTCGCACGATTCGTAAATTCAAAGAAGAGAACGGGACGCTGAACAACGAGGACACTCGGCGAGTGCATTGTACTTCAAAGAAGTCAAGTGACAGCGGCAATGGCAGCAGGTCAGAGCTCCAGCCAACTAAAAATTCACAGTAACTAGATCGTTGCTATTAGCTTCTGCATTTAGACGATGGCGAGTACAGGCTATGAGTCGACACAAGTACATCTATGTAATCGGCACGGTTTTGATCGTCGATCTGCTCTTTCTCTGTCCTTATTCCGGTATTCAACTGGTCGCCTTTCTCCATATCA